TCTCTCTCTCAAACAAAATATATTTATATTTAAAATAAGTTCTTATATCAAGATAATTTCTATGGTATATAGTTATGTCATTTTTGAAATAATACTTACCAAACATATTGTTAGCTCAGTTATCAAAATCAACTCTTAATCACTATACTAGCACTTTTCACTTACCACTTTTATCACTAGTAAATATTAGGACTATGATCCATAAATCAACACAGTTGATCAACAACTCTTTATCTCTTAAGAGTTATGCTTACAGCAGACAAATAATCACCAACAAAGCCTGGTTGGGATAAGGATGCCCTGTGGCCAGCCAGACTTCCACCGCACCTCAGTGATTCTCTGCCGTCTGCCAGCCTTACGGCACCCATTGTTCAAAATTACAAGTTATACTTTCTCACAGACCTGCATTCCTCAAAAATTTTCAGAAACATATTAAAGACATAAACGTCAGGCACTACTGTTACAAGATTCTTTACCTCAATACCTGGAGGTCGCTGTCTCACTCTTCCAAAGAATGAAGGCACAGAGTAAAATGAACAGCAGGCAAGAGTTTGGAAGAGTGTAAAATCAGAAAGTAAGAACAGTATGAAAGCTCTCTTTACAGAGAGGGAGCATTCGAAAGTGAATGCCCGCAGACTGTGGGCCAAGGGCTTTGTTTTTATAGGGTTTTGCTTGGCCCCTTACCTTCCCCCTTGTTTCTTCTCAGGTCCTGCCCTTATTGGCTGGTAACTCTAAATGCCTAGTCATTCCTTTTTGATTGGGTCATTTCCACTGTATGAGGGGTGGTCTGCAGCCATACCACTCCTGGTGGGTCGTATGTTTTATGGTCTACTACTTATTTTTAGTTATGTCTTTTGTCAAATTCCTGAAGGAAACCTGAAGGGAGTAGGTGGTGTCCGCTACATGCTTAAGAGGAACCTTCTGCCTGATGGGGGGTTTGCTGTGGTCAGGTGCTCCCCACATTCTTCCAAAATAGGTGTTTTTCCCCACCCAGGGACCCCAAGTCCTAACATTTCCCTCTCTGCCTATTTTATCCTATCTTTCCCCATCATGTGACCATAGTGGATTCCACTTAGGCTGTGAACCACTCTTCCTTTTCAGCCTCCAGCTGGGACTGGCATGCCCATGATGCCTCAGCAGCCAGTGATGTTTGCACAGCCCATGATGAGGCCACCCTTTGGAGCTGCAGCTGTACCTGGCACACAGGTCGGTTTTTTAATGTCCTCAAAATAATGGCATTAATGTGTGAGTATAAAACTGCCATGTGGCAGACTCTTTAATCTTTTACCTGATACAATCCTTATATCTGTTGCTTCAGAAGTAAGGGGAATATGAAAGACAGATTAGCAATAGTGTGAGAAAAACGAATAGAAGTAACTTCCTATCCTAAGTCCCTCCATTCCTCTCCTACTTAATTCAGAATAATTCCTGAGAACAGCTAGACATTTAAAGTATCTGAGCATTTATTCTGTAAAAATGAGTACTTCTGATTCGTAGTTTTATTATGTGTTTCCAGAGTTAGGTAAACTCAGGGATAGGGACCGCAGTCCTCCAGGCCACCAGATTTACCCAGGCGTTGTGATACTAACGACAACAAGTTTGCCAAACTGCAGAGTCCAGGGGAGCAGCCCCTACTGTTGCAGAATTTTTTACCACAATACGCGGGATTTGTTGTCTGGCCGCTTTGAAGAATGAAGAGGTGGACACAAAATGAGTAGCAGGCAAAAGTTTACTAGAGTGTAAGATCAGAAAGGAAGAACAGTAGGAAAGCTCTCTGTACAGAGAGGGGACATTTGAAAGTGAATGCCCGAGGACTGTAGGTGAGGGCCCTTGTTTTATTAGGTTCTGGTCAGCCCTCCCTTCCCTTCCCCCTTGTTCCTAGGTTCTACCCTTATTGGCTTGATACCTCTAGGTGCTGGGTTGTCCATTCCTGATTGGCTCATTTCCATTGTATGTGGGTGGTCTCTGGCCATACCTAGGTCTTTTGTCCAGTTCCTGAAGGAAAACCTGAGGGGGGAGTAGGTGGGGTCTGTTACATTCTTAAGAAAAACCTTAAGCCTGAGGGGTTTTGCTGTGGTCAGGTACTCCCCGCATTGTTCCAAAATAGGTGTTTTCCTCCACCCAGGGACTTCAGGTCCTAATCTTTCCCTCTCTGCCTACTGAATCCTATCTTCTATCAAACTACAAGGCTGCCCTCACTTCAGACACCAGCCACAAGTTTGAGAGTCCCAAGGGCTACCCTCTCACTTCAGACCAGCTGCCTACAAATTTGAAGGTTCTCAGACAATTTCCTAGAATAACACACAGAACTCAGGAAAGCATGAAATGTATTGCAGTTTTATTATAGTGAAAGGATACAAATTAGATGTAGCCATAAGAAAAGATGTGCAGGGTGAAATCTGGAACTGGGAAGGTCCCAAGCATGAAGCTTCTTTGCCCTCCAGAGTGTGTTACTCACCTGACATCCGTGTATAACAATATACATGCAGTATCGCCAACCCAGGAAGCTCCCCTGCACCTGGGGACGCGTGCCGCGTTTGTATTGAAGTTTCCGTATATAGGAATGACTGAATTCTTGTCTCTGTGGTTGAACTTAATCTCCAACCCCCCCTACCTCACTGAAAGTCAGGCTGATATCATGTAGCCCCAAGAGCCAACACTCTAATCATACTGGTATTTCTGGTGTGGCCAGTCCCCACCCTGAGTCCTCTTACTAGCATCGACTGTCAGGTGTGGTTCCAAGAACCTTTGTCCACCCTGAATGACAAAGACATTCCTATCACTCAGGAAATTCCATAGGTTTAAGGGTTACCTACCAGGATTCAGGACAAACGACAAACCCCTCTTTAGATGAGGCCCTATTTCTTACTACACAAAGTGCTACCTTCGCTTACAAAGATGCTAAGGCATGTACACTTTGCTGAATTGTTTTGCTAATAGTGATAGTCATGCTGATGAGTAACCAGTTCTTGATTCCTCTTATAAATGTCCTGGCCAAGGTGAGGGTATATGTAGAACCAAAGAGGCTTTCACCATGAGAAACTGACATGGATGGAGTCAAAACACCAAGTATGACTTTACTAGCACCATGCTGAGCAAAGCAAAACAAATAGCTCAAATACAATGTAATGGTATCGGCAAATGGTTTCACTTCTATAATGTTTTTAACTTACCAAATGGTGTTTATATTGTGTTATCCTTCGGATACCTACTTTGAACTTTCTGAGAATACTTTAATCTCTTTGGCTTCCTTTCATCGTCTCTAAAATCCATCCTCCCTACCCATTCCCAAATTTTACTTTCAGCTTCTTTAACCCCTCAAAAGCCACAGTGACTAGAAGAGAGAACGATGGGTGTTCCAAGAGATAAATTTAGAATGTGAGAAACCCTAGCCTTCAAGGCCATACTCAAAATACTGGCTTCCTGAAAATTTTCTACCCTGCTTTGAGACAAATGGACCCTACCTCATGTGGTTTCTGAAGGGAGTGAGGAAGGTTCTGGGGGTAATAGTTGGGGTTTAATTTAATCTAGATATATTTAAATTGTAGGAAGGACCTGATTTATTATGAATGTTTTCGTGATGGTTGAATATACCCATGACTACCACTTTTTTGAAAAAAGGCAGAACATTTCTATTTTTATTACTTGGAAGAATTATTATTGAGGCTTTTAAAATCTTATTGTATTTAGTGTGCTGAAAGCTTTAGAAATAAATTAACATAATATTATTTAAATAGTTGTTTCTCTTGCATAATGCCAGTGTTACATAGCATCAGTTCATTTACTTAATTCAAAGAATGAAAATGAAAAATAGATGGCATGATGAAAATCGTGTTTTAATCATTTAATTGAATTTATAGTGATTTAGGAAACAGTATGCCATTTTAATAAAAGTTTTCGATTGTATTTCCCATATCAGAGAAGCATCAGAGATTATTGTACTAGATAGTAAAATATGATTTTGTAACTTCAGAAAACAAAACAGTTTTTCATTACTGACACCTGGACTGTTCCACTCTATCTCATTTGGTTGGTATCATGATGATGTCATCTAACCAAATTATTCATGATGAACCAACTCTTGAGTTTCTTACCTTCCGAACAGCTTCAACACTTGCATTTATTTTCTTCCTGATCTTCCTGTGAAGTAGGATTCCTGCTTTTCAAAAAGGAAATTTGACTGATAGGTACTACAGTCACTCAATAGTTTCTAGATGTGGGAACAAATCTAAAAATCCTTACTTCTGGAGCTATTTATTGAACCAATGAAAACATATATCACATATATCACTACCCCACAATCAGAGATTTCTATCCTGTTACAGGGTAGGAGAATAATTAGACTCTAAGGATCCATGTAAATTATTACCCTATATAGATTACGTGACCTTTTCCAAGGCCTCATACCCTAACGCTCCTGCAAAAGCCTGCTTCCAAAGCTTATTTCTGTCACGTAATGAAATAATATGGGTGTTAGTTAAAGAGAATCAAGGTAAGTTCATTCTTTGTTGCTTTTGCTAACAGTACAATATGATTTTATCCTGTGGCATTTAGTAATTAGCCCTCTCTGTGAGCCGGACAGGCAATACAATTTACTGACATTCATAACTGGAAAACTCTGCCCATCTGAAACAGACAGTGCCCCCAAACTTGTTTTCATTTAAAATGCTTTGTATGAAATTCTGGGATACCTAGCTAATAATTTAAAGTAATTTCTTAAGTGACTTTCTGCAAATTATTTCCTTTCAATTTTTCCTTCAAACTCATTCTCACTGTAAGGAAAAGTTATTAAAATTCCTTTATTAGCTTAGTGGTACTGATAACTCAAAGTAAAAATGCTTTTGTATAGAGCAATTGATTGTTGTGTTTTTTTACTCCATATTCATAATATCTATATGTGACTAGTTTTCCATGTCTTCCCTAACTCTTACCCATATTGTTCTGCCTGAGTCCTCAAATACTACTTGGGCAAAATCTGCTGTCAGAGAATTTTGAGAAAGCCAAATATCATTTGAAATGTACTTTATGAATCCAAAATTAAACACAACACTGTGGCTGAGTAGAACAAAGTAGATTTTATAAACCTTTAGCCATCTGATCTTCTGCATGTTTGGTTTCTGTGGTATGTGCTCTGCCTAATGCTTACCTGTCTCTCTGTTTGATTTCTCTTTCTGCTATCTTGGGCTGGCTTTTCCCCATTAGCTTTCTCCAAGCCCTACACCTGCCACTCAGAGTCCCAAGAAACCTCCAGCAAAGGACCCATTAGCGGATCTTAACATCAAGGATTTCTTGTAAACAATTTAAGGTATCTAATATTGAGCTTTTCCTGTGGGCTTGCAATAATGACCTATGCAGTGCTTAGCTATTTCAGGTATGATATTTGTACCTCTGTGCTTTGAATACATGTATAGAGTAATAATTTGAGTGTTTATACTTATTAAGTCAGTATTAAAAGCCATTAATGAATTATCAGTAAATTTTTTTAAATCTTAATTTATAAAAGTAAGAGAGAGAAAAGCCTCCAAGTTGTCCTGAAAAGCACAAAAATTTTACTGATAAAGCAAAAAGTTACCTGAGCGACTTGGTAAATTAGAAAATTACCACTTTACTACCTGATGATTGGAATTTATAAAAAGCTAACATTTATAATATTGCATTTAGAAATCATCTAAGAATATACTTGACTACAAAATTGTATTTTGTATTTGTTTATACTTTTTTGGCCTATCAAATAAAGCCTAGATTATTACCCTTTGCATTTCTGCATTCAAGCAGAATTTTAAATTTCTAATGCTGTAGTTTTAAATTTCTAGTATAATTTATGCAGTGATGATTAATGGACTTATGGAAGGAAACCAATAAAGGAAAAATGTTTACTAGTAACCCCAAACCTAACACAGTGGGTAGATTCTCAACAAATACTTGCAGAAAGTGGATAAACAGTAATAATGCTGCTTTTTTTTTGCACAGTACTTTTCATATCCACTTCCTAATCATGAACTCCTCTGGTCATCTTTGTGAGAAATTAAATCCTATGGAATAAACTAGCCAGATACTTTTTGTCTCCATTGCACAGCTGAAGGAACTGATCATTGACATTGAGTGATTTGCCCAAGGTCACACACTAGAGGAAGAGGAAGAGTGTCAACATTTTTGGCCATTGTCCAATGTAATTTGTATTTTCTGTGTGTGTGTGTGTGTGTGCGCGTGCGTGTGCATACACACACACACACACGTATGTATTATGTATATATATATGTGTGTGTGTATATATATATGTATAGATACACACACACACACACACATACATACATATACATATGTATATTTAAACTTTCTCTAATGCCTACTAATATTTTTATGGATTCCTACTTGATGTTTTTTTCTTATATAAAGTTAGTAAGTTTTATCATTTTAAGGCCTTGACATCTCAGCCAAGTAATTTCTCCTTGTGCCTAACTTTTCCACTTTTGGTTGGACTGGGCTAGTGTAGGCATAAATGAGACAATGAGCACTTCTTAGCCATTAAAGTTTCAGGACCTACCAAGGATACTGCAGGGAGCAGCCTTTTATCCACCTCTCATTCAGTAAATATCACTCTCATCATATGCCCGGAACTCTGATGAGCACCTGAGACAGAGATGCTTGAGACAGTCCCGAGCCCAAAGGTTCACAGTCACAAGGGAGACAGACACAGACTAATTTATGAAAAAGAGTTACCCATGTGATTAAGGCTTCACCCCAGGAAGATTTCCTGGCAGAGGTGACTGGTAAAGCACAGACTGGCCAGAGTAAAGGGGGAAGTGGTATTCGCAAAGGCACTGAGTCGCCATGGAAATCTCCCTCCTCTATTCTGTTACTTGTTCCACTGTTTAGTGACTCAGTGAACACCATAACTGAAAAGAAGCAAAAAATAATGAAAACGACTGCCATTCCTTTTCCCCCCTTCTGCCCTGTTTTAAAGGTGAACTGTTCTTAATTAATAGCAGATGTCTCACTACTAAGATTTCTAATAAGTATCCACATCTCAAAATTTTGCTATTTTTATCTAAAATGAAACTATACATTAAAAGTTTTTAAAAAAAAAATTTTTCCTTGCTAAAACTTTAAGCAAAGAATTGTGAAAGGTATATAAGTGTGAATTTGTTATACAGAAACATTTTGCATGAAGATTTTTCATAGTAACTGTGAAATAAAAATTGAAAGGGAGGTAGTATGTTTGAGGAGTGTGTAATATTGTTTCTAACTCAAGTGCTTTTTATCTTTACAGCTGCAATTTTTGTGACTGAATAGGAAAAAAATAATGAGTTTGGAGACTTCAAATAAAATTGATGCTCAGAGTTTCAAAGTGAGCCACCAGTACCAAACCCAATGCTTACTCGTAACTTCTCTTCCAAAATGTGTAGCACAGCTGTGAAAGTGAACATTAGGAATGTGTACTACCTTAGCTGTTATCCCTACTCTCAAAATTGTAGTGTATTTGGGTTATTTGTGTGTTGTACGATGTAAAAACAATGAATGGATGTTCCTGATGCCTTTAGTGCTTTTCTGGACCTCGCCCATGGACGGATGACGCAGCTCTTGTGTGGTGAGCCATTTGGAAAGATGTGTCTGTGTTTTTGAAGGTTTCAATGTATATATGACTTTTGGACAAACCTAAACTCTCCCCATGAATTCTCTTTTTCTCTGTATCTCTGTTACAAACATAGTGTGATAATATCAAATAGTAAGGAAAACACTCTTAAATATACAAAACTTTTTCGGTGTGGAGTACATTTTTCCAATCACAGGAACTTCAACTGTTGTGAGAAATGTTTATTTTTGTGGCACTGTATATGTTAAGAAATTTTGTTTTAAAAAAATATAAGGGTTAACGTCCATAATAAATAGTTCTCCTTGAACCTACCTTATCAAGAATGAAAAAATCATATGGAAAGAATTCCATATGTAATCACTGCTATATTAAAATGTATATTTTGATTATATTTGACAGGTTTTGCATCTAAATTGACCTATTTATTCATTCTTGATTAAATGCACTGAAAAGTAAAGGGTCTGTTTCTATCACGTCCGTGAAAATGAAATTAGAGATGTGCTATTCAGATGATTATGAAGGCACCCCAAGGTATATCTGTAATTTAAAGATTACTGCAAATATTTTTATTTTATTGTGGGTTTTATGTACATCTGTTAATTTAGTATTTCTTTGTGTGTTCTGTAGACTAGTGTTCTTCCATCCCTCAACTGAGCTCAAAGTAGGTTTCGTTGTACCATTGTGATTAGAATTTAAACTAATTCAGAAAATTGTATCCTTTACTGTACATATTCTTTAATTTTTAATTTGTTGTCATACTGTATGTGCTGATGGCTTGGCTTAAGATTTTGATGCATAAATGAGGTCACTGTTGATCAGTGTTGCTAGTGGCTTGGCAGCTCTTTGTAAAAGCATACTGGGTTGGAAAGGTGTTTGCCTATTTTTCAAATTATTTAATAGATGTATGGTACCATTTAAAAGTGGTTGTATCTGAATTTACTGTGGGGATAACATACACTGTAATGGGGAAAAATTACCTAAAACCAATTTCAAAATGGCATTTCTTTCTATTTCAGTTTAAAAACCCAGTGCATGTACGCCCTCTGAGATGCAATAAACACCTTGAACAAAGAAAATGCAAACATAATCTTTCTCTTTTTGATTATTTTTTAGAGAAAACATCTGCTTCAGATGACACACAGCATATACAAATATTGAACACTTAAAAACATTCACAGTGAGAAATGCTGGCCATGCCAACATAGTTGTGATTATTTTACAATAAGTCAAAAACCAGAAAAAAAAACATTATTATCAGCTATTGCTAAACTTGGGACTCCATGGATGCTGCCAAATAAACTGAATTCCATATTTCAAAAAAGAAGAGGATGAACTATCTTTTAAATTATGCAACTCTTCTAATAGTTTGGTGAGCATTATCCATGGAAGTTGAAGAATAATAAGACTTTAGATTATAGTTTACACACACACATTTGTATGTGCATGCACTCAGATACAAAAATCTAGATCAGCCAATTATATTATATTATATTATATTATATTATATTATATTATAT